ATTCTTCTGCTAATTCAAAAGTCTAGACATTTATTTATAACCAACAATTTTGTAATTTATCAGATCCTTTTTAAGAGGATGTTCTTTCGATTTTTTATTGTATAAAAATTTTTTTTGAAGAGACTAAAGGCCTGTTTATACTGTTCAAGTTCTTGATTCCAAGAACTTGGCGAAATTTCCCTCTCCAAGAAATTGGATGATTTGTCGACACTATCTAAGCAGAATTAATATTAAAAAAAAAATTTGTACATAAATATCTCATAAGCAACATATAAAAAGAAAAAGAATCATGTTCTGATTCTATTTAAGGGCATTTACAATGCTGTTTAAAACTTTTCTGAAATAAATAATGGCCAATTGTATGAGAATAAGTCTATATTCACATTAAAATGCAAATCAAATATATAAAGTATATCTAACGTTCTGCCACACATTTAATATTAAAAGTTATTAAATGACATACATTTTATTTAGCAAATTTTATCGCAAACTTAATACTTTGGAGTGATCTGTCTCTGTGCGATGGTACACTAGTACCATATTTCTTTGGCTAAAAGATCTATTACTTCTGTCATGTGTTCTAACTCCATGGTCAGTTTGTCACGGATGATCATCACATTATCCATTGAAATACTCTTTGTGAGATGTTTGTTTCTAAGTGATAGTAGAAATCAAGGGGAACAAATCGTTTCTTTTGTGTTATTCTTTATAAAGAGTTTAAAATTGTTTTTCTTTTCCTCCCTTTGTTAAGCTAAAGAAACAATTTTGATTAAATTTTTTCTGAAACATGAAGGGTATTTCTTAGTAAGTAAAACCAAACAACATTTGAATTACTTAAGAAGAAAATAACCAAAACACTGGTACAGATTTTTTTCTCTTTTTTTAAAAAAAAATTCAAAAGTGGTTACAATTCAACGAAATACACTTTGAGGTTTACAGATTATAAGACATATAAATTAAACTAAATGTATTTTACTATATGTAATGGCAAAATCAAAATAAAAGCCAATTATTAGCCTGACAACAATGAGCAACTCATGGGTGTTAAAATAAGACATCGCCGATTCGTATTCACTATGATGGCTATTAAGTTGTATAATTTTAGAAACATAATATGCCTAGAATGGAAAAAAAATCTAAAATTTTCAATTCTCTGAAATTCTTTATGTGATGATCTGATTATTTTTGTTTACATTTTCATTTTTTAATTATTCATTGCTAAAATTACTTTAAAAAAGAGAAAGAGAAGCTATTATTAAATTAGAGTTATTATTATAAAATGTAGACAACTTTAGCATCACATATTCTAATACAATAATTTTAAGGTTTTGCAATTAAAAAATACAAAACTTTTAATATTTAAAAAGCGAAATGTTGTTGCTTTTCAAAATCTTTTATCAAAATTGTATTTAATGATGCTTTTACCCCTGTATGATTATGCATGCTAGCTCAGATTACCTTTGCTAGCACTTTAATCCTAATGTATGAACCTTTTCGTTAAACTGTTTTGATTGAAAATGTAACTTTACCTTTATTAGAAGCTAACTAGACATTGGTTGCCTCTTCGAAATTATTTACCTATGTACATCTTCATTTTTTAAAAAAATTTACTGACAAGGATCCAATTACTATTTAAAAAAATCAACATCTCGTTTGCCTTAACTTAGTTTCTCAAATATGTTGCCTTATAAAAAAAATTTTTTTTAAATTATTTGTATTTTATGTACTATTTGTCAACATAAGGGGTGGGGTGCTAGTGGAAAATAAATAATAGTTGCTATTCTTTCATAGACCAAAGATATTATTATAATATTGAACAGATTAGAGATATTACTGTCGTTGAGCAGCTGACCCAATTTTTGGGTTTACAACTACTAATGTTCAATTCCGTAGCCTTGTAATTTTGAACCAATCCGGAAGACAAGGAAACTCCTGGATCAGTACCTTCGGAGATATTGTTTTGTTATGGGAACCTAGAGGACTTTGCAGCTCGACAGATTTAACGTGCATCAGTCACCATTTACTACATGGGGAGTCTTCGGCGGGCAGGGATCGAACTCACGAACTCTTGGACATGGGCCCAGTGCCCTACCAACCAGGCTATCTTGGCCTCTTGACCAAAGATAGGAGTTATCCATTTATCAAAGGCATACAGCTAAATAAACTAACAGTCGCTTTACCTGCAATGCAATGGAATAACCTGTTTCCATAGCAACAGTCACCAACATGTCTACCATAAGGAGCTTATTCTTGTAATAAACTGGCAGAGCTTGGCTTTTCAGATTTTTCTTCTGAAATTAAAAACTACCAAATATCAAACTTGAATCAGAGGGGGGAACAATTTTAAAGTGGATAAACTCTTTTAAATTTATGACAACAACAGTAGTATTATTGACAAAATTAAAATCACATGATTAAATTGACAGCTTATTTTCACTTTGTTAATTTCTTGATATTGATTATTTTTCCTTAATAAATTTCTAGATAACAATTTTTTTTTACACTTTTCTAAACATTTTTGACTATATTTAAGAAACTAACTGTAAACAAGAGTAACTGTAATGTAAAACAGAGTCAATGATTAAAAGACACACTTTTGTAAAAATATTAACTGGTCAGCTGTATCAACACAATCTTTCTCCACTTATAAATTCAATATTTTTTTTCTTTTACAATTATTTTTTTTCCAATGAACTTTTGTTCTTTACCTCTGAAAATGCCGGAAGTGTTGCTCATTTAATGTTACCCAGTGGGCACCTGTGAACCAAAGTAACGGAAGCGAGCAACATTACCCATGCCACACTGCCACAGATACCCATTCATAGGGTGGGCCACATTCACACATCAGAGAACAACACACAGAGAGGAAAACATCCATGCCCTGAGAGGGATTCAAACCCACAGCCACTGGCTTCACAAACAGGCACTCTGACCGCTCGGCCATCTGGCCGGCATAGATTCAATATAAACAATAGCAGTTGCTAATAAAACAGTTCTGCCTTTCATTAAGAAACAATTTAAATTAGACACTAATTATTCTTTTCTTAAATGTGGTTTTCACTTTTACATTCATTTGGCAATGTGCCATGAACAACTGTATCGAAAGTCTTACTATGATTAACTAGACACAATATTCTGTTTAGTCAACATGCCTGAACTATTTAGTTCCTTAGAAATATGTAACAAACTATTATGCTATTTCCCACACTGATTGCATGAATATTTCGATGAGCAATTGCATAAATGATGACCTGACATTAAACAATTAATACACAAATTATATTTTTTAGCTCCATCATACATATCCTCAGGAGGGAGTTTTTTAAAAATATTACAAAAATATATTGTATGTGATAAATTACACAAAATACACTTTTTATTTTCCATATTCAACATAAAGTTTTTGTTTCGAAATAAGATAGGGGATTTTTTTTGTTTTTATTTAACTATTTCCGTGAATGTTTTCCAAGACCTGACTTCTTTTTTCCATAAAAGTTAATAAATTGTCTAATTCTGGTACTTTCTTATCATCTGGCATTTTCTAAGGAAAGCTCAAATTGTTTTTTACTTCTAACGATCTAATTATTTCAAAACAATATTTAAAATAATAAAATTACATAAATTGTTTTTTCAGAACTTTAAATTTTTTTAAGTTCTCAAATTTTCTATTTAAGTTATCAACAATTTTTCTTAAATCTATATGTGATTCATTAAACAGTTTTTCGATTTCAAGAATTGATTGTATATGGTTATCAACAATAATTTGTTTATTTTCATATCGCTCTTCCAAAGTTTGGAATAAAGATATAAACGTATCATCTTCTGTTTCCAAAAGCTGTGCTTTTCCTTTAAGTAGTATTTGTAATTTTTCATTATCTGATAAATAATTTTTGCTTCCAATAACAATATTAAATTGATTTTGGAATGTTGTGAATTCTAAATAATTTCCTGAAAATGCTGGAGTAGAAACTTCAAGAATACGATAATTAATGTATTTGACATAGAAGATTGTTAATCCACTTTAGTATTATGCATAGCAATAGTTTTCTTTTTTAATATTTTTTTTTTTTTGGGGGGGGGGTTAATTTGTACTTCCAATTTTTCTACTCTGGAATCGATATCTATCAAATCCTCTTTATTATCCTTTGCAGCTTCATTTTCAACAGTGTCATAATAGTTGTCACATAATAAGCAAATGGGTGATTTAATTTTTTCAATAATATTTAGTTTTGTATCCAAGTCAACTTCATTATATTCTTTATACGATTTACCCAACAAAATTTTGAGACGAGTTATTTGAGCTTTGATGCTCTCCACTAAATGATTAAGTCTTTCCATGTTTATGAAATTAAGTTTCTTCATGCACAGTCAATTAGTTTACAAATAATCCACGATTCAAAATCGAAACTATTCAAAGTCTCTGATTAAACGGACTAAAATGTTTACAAAGATAAAAAAGATAATATTAGTTTAAAAATTAACTAATATTCTCTTACAGGATGTTCACTACATAACAGCCTCAATCAAGGAACAAACAAGCAATAATAAAGAGAAACAAATATTACAAGAAGCGGTTACCACAATTGGCGAACTATCTTTTTCATGGCAACAACAACAATTTTTCATTCAACAATGACCAAAAGACTGATGACTTTCAATCTGAATTTAAATATGAATTTGAACCATCCAAAGTTTGTAATTTTAAGAATCATTAAGGTTTAACATTTTTAAATAAAATATAAAGATGATATAAGCATTCCAAAACAACTAAGTTTTAATGTGTATTAAAAATATGCATTCAAAAATTAGTAAATAATCTCTAACAAATCCCTTTCTTTTGAAGTTATTGCAAGGTTTCCCAGAGTATTTATAAGTTTTTTGCATTGTTTTAAAATTTCCATTTATTTCTGAGATTGGGAAAATAATTAATTTTGTTTCAAAATTTTTTTTTAACAAATATGTAAAAATAAGTAGAAGTTACAATAAAAAAGCAAATAAAATACATAAATAAGATTTTTTTTATTAACATTGAAACTATAAAAAAAAGTGTCAATAGAAAACAAATAATGTTTATTTTTCTTCAAGGTATAGTTTTGAATTACTCATTGCATATAGTTTCTGCAGTCAAGATTCAATCTTATAAGATTTTTCTCTTGTGTGAGTAAGATAGTGTTTATTTAAAGTGGATTTTTGAGTATATCTTTTATCACACGTGCTGCATGAATAAGTTTTCTCTCGGTTATGAGAAAGATAATGTACTTTTAATTTAGAGCTATCGCTAAACGATTTATTACACACACTGCATGGATAAGGTTTTTCTTCAATATGAATGAAAGAATGTCTTTCTAATTTAGATTTAGATCTATAAGATTTATTACACTCACTGCATGTGAAAGGATTCTCTCCAGTATGAATATAAGAGTGTTCAATTAAATAGCTTTTCCGCGTAAATGCTTTATCACAAGCACTGCATGAATAAGGTTTTTCTCCAGTATGTACTAGAGTGTGATGCATTAAATTGCTTTTATGGGTGAATGCTTTATCACATACACTGCATGAGTAAGGTTTCTCCCCTGTATGAATAAGGATGTGTTTGCTTAAAGCATAATTCCGTCTGAATGTTTTATTACATATACTACAAGGATATGGTCTTTCCTTAGAGTGCACAAGACAGTGTTTAATTAAAAATGTCTTTTTTGTAAATTTAAGATTGCATTCATTGCATGAATAAGGTTTCTCTCCAGTATGAACAAGAGTGTGATCAATTAAATTGCTTTTCCGTTTAAATGATTTATCACATAGGTTGCATGAATACGGTTTCTCTCTAGTATGAACAAGACTGTGCCTGTTTAAAGCAGAATTCTGTTTGAATGTTTTATTACATACACTACAAGAATATGATTTTTCCTTAGAATGAAAAAGGGAGTGTTTATTTAAAGAAGACTTTTTCGGAAATGTTTGATTAGACTCATTATATGAATGAGGTTTCTCTCCAGTTTGTACAAGAGAATGGTGAACGAAAGCGCTTTTCTGTGTGAATGTTTTATCACAGACACTGTGTGAATATAGTTTTTCTCCGTCACAAACAAGAGGGTGCTCTTTGAAATCACCTTTCGGTGTGAATGTATTGTTACTCATTCTGTATGAATAAGACAGCTCTGCAAAATGAAGAAGAACGTTTATTTTAATATGATTTTTTGTTATAGATTTGTCATACGCATAGATGAATATTTTTCTTTCTTTTTTTCAGCATTAAGATTCAATTATTTATTTACATTATGCAAGCATGAAATTTGACTGAGACCGCGACAGTTGAGAGTGTGACAAGCTATGTGCTATTAGCTTATAGCTTTTATGGTAAATGCTTGATCGCCTAAGAAAGCTGTAAGCAAATAGCATTGAACCCGACTCTCAACCTCTCTCTGTTTTTGTCTTGATTTTCAAATAGATTAAAAACTTTAAGTTAGTAAATTGAAAGCTACACTGAACCTAAATCTTAAAAAAGTGTCGTGGAAATTTTGAAGAAATATTTATACACTTTTATTGTCTGGATATACGAAGAATATTAAGAAATGGGAAAATATCGTAATATCGGAGGAGGTTTAAGACATGGAACTGGTCTTCTCCCCAGAAGGCGTATTCGAGGGCTGCAATCGCGAGCAGTTCTTCGATTGGTGCTGACATCTATTTTTATTCAAAAGAACCAATTTATAAGCAAAAATATATTTGATAATATTAATTTCATCTCAAAGCAAAAAAATTACATAAATTTAAAATTTAGGGCCCTACTTACTATTACTGTTGTCAAGAAATTAATATAATCATATTTTTTGTTAATTGCAACTGCTAGTTAGATAATAATCATGTACATGTAACCATAACCGCTTGCAAAGTAAACAAATAACCTGCCGGTTCTTATCAAAATTGACACAATCATATAATTAGTTTAAATAATTTCTAATTAAAGCCTTAAAATTTATAAAATTTTTTAATAGTTTAGCATGGCTGCAACATTCAAAGGGAAGCGTGCATTGATTACTGGCGCTGGCAGAGGTAGCATTAAAATAATAATAATAATATAATTTTATCTTTCTTAAAATCGTTATCTGGTTCAGATATAGCTAGTTTAAATTATATTCTCTAGAGTTGTTCACTTAAAATCTCTTAAAACCTGAGAATTAATATTTTATGTTAATCCCTATATAAAGTATTGTTTTTTTTAAAAATTACTAAGTGACTAAATAATCTAATTACTAAGTGACTAAATAAAATGAATTAAGAATGTTTAGTAGCCTATTAAGCCAGTTACAAAATCCTGATTTTTTGAAGTTATAATAATAGGATTTTGTAAATAGGGGGCAGTTTTCAAGTTTATATTTATTTATATATATATTTTAAAATTATTTTGGTGCAGTTTTAGCTAGATTACGATCATTTTTTAAGATCGTTATCTGATACATCTTATGTTGAGTTATATTTTTTCGTAGGTATTTAAAATAAAAATTTAAAAAAATAAAACTTCTCTTATGACATGAAAATCAATAAATGTTTCTCTAAGATCATTATCTTGCAAAGATATGGCTAATCTAGTATATACTAATGTATCAGATTAGCCTGATCTAATACATTATTTATAAAACCACTAACATAGTATATTAGTTACACAGTGGCGTAGCGAGGGGGGAGCAAGGGGGGGCATCATGCCCCGGGCGCTACTCACAAAGGGGCGCCAAATGGTCAGCAAAACAAAAAAAATTGTTGGATAATTTTTATTTTTATTATAATTTATTTCTGCAAAAAATATTTTAAATTTAGTGCCAGTGAAATATGATAAATGTTAATTCGTAAATAAAAAGGAACACTAATCAAACTGTAATAATATATTCATAATAGAAATGACACGTCTTTTCTAATGGCTGGCTGACTCGACCTGTATCTGTCAGCACTTCCTTATGGCATCTACGCTGTGTGGTTACATATATTATCTCCAAATATTTGCACTGTACAAAAATCGTTTGTATGTTTGTACAGTGTATAATACAGATTTCAATGGAATAGAACTCTTTATCGAAGAATGTGACTGTAAAATGTTACTCCTTTGTAGAAAAGAAATTGAACTTAAAACTCCATTAGAATTTCTTACTTTTATAATCCCGTATGGAGAAGATGTTTTTCCAAACCTGAGAGTGGCACTTCAAATACTCCTGACTATCTCAGTATCAATTGCTAACTGCGAATGGTCATTCAGCAAATTAAAATTAATTTTGACATATCTACGATCAACGGTGGGACAAGATCACCTAAGTGACCTGGCATTTTTAAGTGTGGAAAGAGAAAAATTTGAAATGATCAACTTTGATGATATTATTGATAAATTTGCTTCATCAAAAGCGGAAAATTTACACATAGTAATTAGTTTTATAATTGTATTATAATCATATTATTAAATATATGTATCTCCTTAGAGATAATAAATATTTACTTTTTTATTGTTTTAAAACTGCGTGTTTTTAAAATATTTCTTTATAAATATGTAAAATAAATAATAGGTATCTTATGAACTAATTCTAGATGATCATATACATTTCAAAGTCTAGTCTTGTTTTCTCAACTACATTTTTTGTCTCAAATTTAATGCCTAACTTGAGCCTATGACTTTATTTATTCTACTTTATTTATTTATTACTTTGCGAGTATATTTTACTTATAATATTAGATGGATTTCAAATGGGGGGGGCGCTAAAAAGGTATTGTGCCCCGGGCGCGAGTTAAGCTCGCTACGGCACTGTAGTTACATAACCTTATATATATGTAACGTTTGAATAATATACATTTATTCAGAGGTTTTTTTTAAAAAATCTTTTTTTAACATCTTTTACAGCATGAGAACCAATATTGTTTTAACAATGATGATTAACTAGAAATTTTCTAAGGAGAATATTAATTTTTAAATTGATAATTGTATTTACAGAAGAGGTTACAGTGTTCAGTAATTTGTGTTTTTCCTTTTGTGTTTTTCCTTGCACTACCTTGCTTTTTTTAAATTTTAATAAAATGTTTTTATAAAGAAAATGGAATTTCTCTAATCCAATGTTGTAGTCTTTAAAAAAAAAACTGTATATTACATGACATTTTAAATCAGGTAACCATCAATTTTAAAATAATCTCATACTGATGTGGTTTGTTTCATTTAATTATTCATAGCCTTTCAAATCATAACCTTTATTACATAACCATTATTCATAGCCAGCAAAATTATAACCTTTATTACATAATAAGCTACTACGCAAGCTATTTTTTTAGAAAAAAAAATTTTAGAACTTAATGTATGTGTTCATTTTTTTAAAATAAAAACTGTGTTTAGAAAAAAGGTTGTAGTTATGAGCTAATTCTAATTTCCCTGCTAGAATCCTGTTTATGTAAATTTTCAATTTGATTTTGTGTGACAAAACATATTTCGCGTTTTTCAGCTGCTGTTTATGGAAAAACCATTACTCTTGTATGAAAATTTAACCAATACTAATAATAAATAATTAAAAATATAAAAATGACATTCTTTTTTTTTTGTAGCAGTATCTTTAAATTTATAATAACTAAATGAAATTTAATTATCTAGGTATAGGAAGAGCTATTGTCAAGGAACTTGTTTCGTTAGAAGCTTCTGTAGTAGCCTTGAGTCGCACCAAAGAACATTTAGTGACACTTAAAAATGAAGTATGCTTTTTTTTTAATTTTTAAAATTAAAGTAGCTTTGTAATTAATATCATTCATTAAATCATTCATTATTTTTTTTAGTTTCCTCAAATTGAAATCGTTGCTGTTGATATTGCTGATTGGAAGGAAACAGAAAAAGTTGTTAAAAATCTAGGAACTTTCGATCTCTTGGTAAACAATGCAGGAATTGGGGAGTTGGAAAAAGTAGGCGACATTACAGAGGATGTAGTTGATAGGTATTGCCAGATTCTTTTATGAGTATTTGTATTTAGTTTTCATACCATTATGTGTTTCTAATTATTTATTTTATTTCATTTTAGAACATTTGCTGTGAATGTGAAGGCTGTAATTAATATCTCTCAAGTTAGTACATACAAATCTTATTTTTTGTCTTAAAATAAAAAAATTACTTATTTAAAATCCTTTTTAATCATAAAAATATGTGTTACAGTTCAATTGTATACCTATTGTTAACTTGCCCTTTTTTTAAAAATATTTATTAATTTTTTACATGCATATAGATCTAGCATTTTTATGTAATGATTAAGAATTGGTATAGATATCATTTAAAATAATAAGAATTTTTTATTCAAGAATTAAAAGGTAGATTATTGTTCTGGACTTTAAATAAGATTATCTTTCAAATCTTTTGATAAGTTTAAGCAAAGAAATCTTGTTTCAAGCATTATTTACTGTAAACTCTACAAGTTACACTGATATTATGGATGTTCCAATTGACTTTAGCCACTTAAATATACTTTGGAATACTATCTAAACTTGCTTCGAAGCATGTATTTTTACCTAATATTGCCAATGGTTTTGCTCTGATAAAATTAATTTTTAATCTGCAAAAGATGAAAAGTTGTAGATTAGCTTTTTTACTGTCACTTAGTCCAAATTAGTCTGAAAAATACTTTGTTTAGCAGTTGTTCTTCAAATTAATCACATAAAGAACATTTATTTTGTTGTCTGGAAAAGATATTAAGTCTTACTTATTAACTAAATTTATAGTTTATTAATTAAATTACTAAATTATATTCAGAATCTACAAAAAAGTTAAGTTTTAACTTAAAAAATAAATTTATTTTAAGTCATTAATAAATTATCTATTCCTTATGAAGTAAAAAAATGGTAAATGTGGTATTTGTTAGATTTAACTGTTGTTCAAACAACACGAAAATATAAAACTGCCATATCAACTTCAAATATATATATTTGAAGAAAATATTATAAGAAGAAATAAAATAAGTTAGAGGATCATCATCATATCACCCGTCAGAGAACTGAAAGTGTCAGCACAGCAAAAGAAAACCAAAATCATTAACACGAAATAACAAAGGACTACTGGAAATAGCAACCTAACTATTAAAAAGGAAATATATTAAAACGAAATTAAAGTGGAAGCACTGACTTACAAGATAATATCATCAGGGGGATCAAAGGAATTTTGTAAATTCAATAGATAAATTTTAAAAATTTTACAGATGCCTCTATGAAAATCAAATTTTAAAATAATTATTTTTTTTACCCTGTGTACATGAAATATTTACTTATAAATGAAATTTGTAGTAATTTGCCAAATCTTGGTTCCCCCCCCTCCCATTATTGTGTTTCTTAATGACTTTCTACTTGCAAACTATAATAAAGATAAAATTTCTGTTTATAATTTTTTTTTTAAAAAAACAATAATATTTTTTAAAAATGGCTCTTTTTTAAAAATTTATGAGAAAATTTTTTTTAAAATAAATTTTAACTTTAGTAATAATAGTTTAGAAACATAATTATTTTATAATTTACAGGTATTTAAATAGGCAATAAATATTAATTTATAATTGTAATCTAATAATTAATTTCTAATCTTATAATAAATGTAATAAAGTATAATTTATTTCATAGGTTGTATCAAAAAAAGTTTTTTCCTACTATATTTTTTAAAAGCAGTTATGTGTTTTTATAAATATATTTAGTATTCTACATAATTTTTTAATCTAAAAGTTTTAATGCTTTGTAAAATAGCCAATATCTTAATTAGTTACCTCTATCTATTCATCAAAATAATAATTAAACTAATATTACACAGTTTGAAATCTTTATAACACAAACTTTTAAACGTGAAGCTTTGCGTTATATAGAATTTTGTGTTGATCATTTCACTCATCATTTTTGTGATCATTTCACTCATTTAGCTTACTCATTAAAAATGGTAATGTATATCTGGAACAGATGAATATTAATGCTTTACATAGAATTACATTGCATTATATAGAATTACATTGCATTATATAGAATTACATTGCATTATATAGTATTTTGTGTTACATAGATCATTTCACTCATCTAGCTTACCCATTAAACATGGTAATGTATATCTGGAACAGATGAATATTAATGCTTTACATAGCATTGTATAGAATTACATTGCATTATATAGAATTTTGTGTTACATAGAACATTTCACTCATCTAGCTTACTCATTAAATATGGTAATGTATATCTGGAACAGATGAATATTAATGCTTTACATAGAATTACATTGCATTATACGGAATTTTGTGTTACATAGATCATTTCACTCATCTAGCTTACTCATTAAACATGCTAATGTATATCAGAAACAGATAAATATTAATGCTTTATATAGCATTTACATTGCATTATATAGAATTTTGTGTTACATAGATCATTTCACTCATCTAGCTTACCCATTAAACATGGTAATGTATATCAGAAACAGATAAATATTAAGGCTTTACAAAGCATTTACATTGCATTATATAGAATTCTGTGTTATATAGAGCAGATGAATATTAATGTTTCAAAACAATTTTGAAATGCAAATATTTTAAAATATAAAAATATACATTTGAATTTTAATTATTTACCCAAAAAAAAATTAAGACTATCACGTGCTTTTGAACAAATATTTAACAAATTTATTCATTTCTGTTTGCTTTGCAGATTGTAAAATTAGTGTTAGTTTATGGCGAATTGCATTATATAAGACTTCTATTGTATTACCTTGTAAAAAATATTTCATATTTATTTATCTTATTAATATTATTTTTAAAATTATAATGATTTTACAAAAATTAAATTGAGCTTAGTTTCCTGAAGCATTTTTGTGTTATTTTTTTAACATTATTCAATTGCTAAAAAATATTCAGTGATATTTTCAAATTTATTCTTTATATTTACAGATTGTTGCCAATGGAATGAAAAAGGCGGGTATCCGTGGCAGTATAGTCAACATGTCTAGTCAAGCAGCCATTATTGCCCTTGACAAACATGCTACCTATTGTGCTTCAAAAGGAGCATTAGACCAACTAACTAAAGTGATGGCTCTGGAACTTGGTCCCTCTGGTGTAAGATACTTATAACTCTTTAATGCTTATAAAAAATCACCTATTTTTCCCTTCAATTTAGCTAATATAGACTTCTAAAAAATTAAATTGCAGTCACAATGTAGTTAGAGAAGGTTTATGATAAATATATATTTAATGTTATTGGAATGTGGTAGTGCAATGGGAAATGAATTTAATTTCAAAATAAAGGTTAGGTTATTAAAATATTTTCCAGGTTGTCTTCAGGGAAAATTTTTAAAAGAATGAAATAAGCATATCTCAAGCATATATAATAAAATTAATTACTCTTCTGAAAATATAATTAATTACAAATTTAACAATATAACTTAAAAATGATCAGAATAGATAAACAAATGATTTATTACTCACCATTTAAATCCATGGATTGGGAGGATGCTGCTTATGAAAATAAATAATTTAAATTTGAAAGAAAAACAAAATAAAAAGTTTCTGTTAATCATGGTTAATCAATTTATTTCAAGAAAAATATACGAAATGAAAAAATAATAAATTGAGAACAATTCTTCATGGTTTATAGATAAATTAGGTTTAAAAAATGGAAAATGTGTAGAACCAAAAATTAAAGAATATTCTTATTAATTTTAAATAAAATTTAATTTCTTTTTAAAATAGTTTATTTATTCATTTAATAAATTTTGAGAACTGTAATGATTATTTCGATACGAATGTTCAACTTAATAATAAATTATATTTTTAAATCAATTTAAAGTTAATAACCAAAGTATTCAAACTGGGAACTTATATGTTTAATCAATTCAAAACTAAAGAAAGTTAATATTTTGTTTTTGTAATCAATAAAATTTTACAATCAAAATTTCCTTATTTATTTATTGCCCAATAAATTTGAAATCAGGCAAACCTCGGGAGTACAGATAATACAACATACAAGAATATATACAAATATCACTAATCACATTTCAAAATCCTGAATTGTTATTTACTCCTAACAACAAGAATATGCCTATGTATTACCAAAGGCATACAGGAATTTAATTCAGTTTTTTTGTAGGAAGAAATATTATTAGTGAATTCATAATTTAAGATAAGCTTTTAGAGTGAATTGATTTCATTAACGACTATTAACTTTTATGATAGAGACAACATACCTTTTAACTAACTAACTAAAATATTTCGTAAATTTAATGACCTTTCTTTTGAGTGAATAGTATGTCCTTTTTGGGACATTTTGTTGTAATATATTTAATTAGCTAGAGTAACGAAAGATATAATAGCAGATGATAAAGCGAAGAAAGTGACTGAAAAAGAATTCACGATTTACGTTTGGCGAGCAGTAAGGGTTATCTCAATTTCAAGTGCAAGGACGTTTTTTCCTATACTCCCCGTCCTTAAATGAACTCTTCATCCAAGGAGGTGCAGCCAAGTGCCAACTCCTGATGAACGAACTATATATTTCTGAGGTATTTGAGTTCATGAGTTCTATGGCGAATTACTATTTGCCCCTTTGGAGGAAACTAAGTTGTTAAGTCTGTCTCATTTTTATTAAAATTTATAGTCTCATATTTTTCACTGTACAATTTTCTAATTTTTCGTATGTAAATCTTTTCAGATTCGAGTAAATAGTATAAACCCAACTGTTGTACGTACTGAGCTAGGTATGATGGCTTGGGGGGAAAAAAAGATAGAAGCTGCTATGAAAGCAAAAATACCTTTGGGAGATTACTGTGGTAAGATTTATTATGTTTATCATGTAACAACATATTAATAGGTTTTAAAATAATTTTTTTAAATTTTCTTTTTTGTCTGGATATAAATACATAAAAGAAATCTTCAGTTTAAATAATTCTTCTCCTTCAAAATTCAATTTCAATTCTTTCATGATTTTTTCACCCTTTTTCCTTTAAAACTTTTTTTCCATTTCTATTTTTTCTAGTCATTTGAAATAATTGTTGTTTGTTTGTTTTAAACACATGCTATGGAAGAAAAAATACCTCTTGATAACTATAAGATTTATCATATTGGTCATGTAAAATTCAAATAATTTACAAGTTTTTCATATGACCTAATTTGTACTGTGTAATATAAATTTGTCTGTACTTATCTTATTATAGACACATGGGTGAAGCAATGATTTGAAAAAAGGCCTCTTCTTTAATATGTCAGAAATATTATTCCTACTCTTTAATCTTTTTCAACGATTTTAAGCAAATATGAATTACAAAACATTTTGTAGTTTATATATTAAAAATACTTGCAATTACTGCTTTTTTAATTGATTAAAGGGTAAAATTTATTTAACTTAATTGAGAAAATAATTTCTTTCATTTAATAACAATATCTTATTTAATTTGTTGTTTATAGTTATTCATCAATAGATAAATTAGAGTTGTAAATAAATTAGCTTTACTTTTATTGCATTTCTATTTTGTCAAAAATAATTATTTTAACTGAAATAATAAGTTTTATTTCAGTCATTTAAATATCAAATAAAAAAAGGAGTCAAATTGCTGTTTGGAAAAAGAGGGGGAAATATATATATCATTTAGAGCAAAACCCATACAGAATTAAAATATGCCTGTGCAAATATTTCAATTAGTCTGGAATGAAGCACAGAGAACATTTTTATACTTTTTTTCATCATCTAGCATTTCCATTTGTTAATGAACTTATTAACTTGTTTTAAAACTTTGTGAAGAAACCATACATTCCTAAACAGAATACAACGATCTGTATATTTCTATGTCCTTCTGTTTCTTTTTTTAAAACATTAAACCTTTTTCTAGCATTGGTCAGTAAATTAATGTTAATCATTAGTAAAATAGATATATCTTTTCCGAATATAAAAGATATTGCTTATAATGCTGACATCAAGCTATATTTTTCTAACTGTAATTTAAGTAACTTTCTCAACTAATGGTAACAAAAGAATACAAAATATTATAAGTTCTATAATAACAGAACTTTCTTTGAAAGAAACACGCTTAAAAGCAGCAGAACTTTCAAAAGAAAGAATAATTGAAGCAATAAAGAAAAAAACAATGGAAATAAAAATATGACCACCGAAGCCGACGTCTTCAAGGGGTACCAGCTCCGGAAGCCATAAAACAAAATCTTTTCTATTGAAAGAGTGGACAAATGTCAAAATTAAGTCTCTCAGTACCCCGAAGATTTTGTAAAAGTCCAGGAAGAAATACATAAAATCAAATAAGAGGAGAAATTCTTTATTGTTTCAAGTTCTCAATTAATATTTTAGTTATATTTATGAAATTTATATTAATTTGTCTTATATATTGTGAATTAAAAGAAATTGTAAGCATAGTGTTATACTTAAAGCATAGTGTTATACTTAGTGTTATACTCATTAAAAATGTCAAAAAAGTAGTTTATTCTTTATTATTATTAAATTGTTAGTACTAAATCAGATCATAAACTTACTTCATCATTTCATATATGTATGTTAGGGTAAAAACCCAAAGTCTAATAAAACCTAGCTTTTACCGAAGTGGCTTGGTAAAAGTTTGAAGTATGCTTTAGCATAATTCTATTTTGTTCTTTTATCAAGCCCTTGTAGTAAAACTTAGAAGCCCCTTTAGACATTAGAAACTGCTAGATTTTACCACAAAATCTTGGTGAGAAATATTGAAGCATACCTCGAACTTTTATCAAGCTACTTTGGTAATAGCTAGGTTTTACTGGTAGAACGTAGGATTTACCAGACTTTAGACTTTTACAGTAACATATTTATGCATGCAGCCTATTTGACATTCTTAGCCTTTCTTATCATTCTATTATTTTCAAATCGTTTTTAATTGACAAATTATAATACAAAAAAAAAACCTGTTTGAACATATAAAAAAAAATAATAAAAAAAAATTTAAAAAAAAAACGTGTAGATGTTTTCCCGAGATTGGCTGNAAAAAAAAAAAAACAGATTTAAAAGCCCCTCCCAAAAAAAAGTTTTTTTTTTCCAACTTTGATAATTTTTACAGTCCAATTAATTATGTTTATCATTTTTTTGTTTTAAATTTAGGTTTTAAAAATACTAGTGCAGATTGTTCACAATTCTTTGTGTTATAGTATTGTTTATATTTTATATATACAATTTTTTAAAAAAAGGAAGAAAAAAATTTTAATATTTTGCTACTTCATTTCCTAAAACAAGTTTTCATTAGTATCAAAAATGAATAGTAAAAAAATAGTAGTGAATATAAGTTTTGTATGAAAGAAAACAAATATTCAAATTTTTTTTCTTCCTAATAATTGTTAATTACCTCTTCTTTTTTTTTTTCTCTGATGTTGCAAGGCATTGAGATACTAAAATTTGTTATTTGAAGAAAATAAATAATATTTTACAATAGACATTTCTTTTTTTTTTCTTCTTTTTAATTTTAATAAAAATTTTTTATTGCTGATTTTTTTTAAATATATGCATAGAGGATAATGGATATTGTTTTATGCACACACTTTTAACTTCCATTTTTTTATATTCTTAAAAAAAAGTATACATATGTATGACTTCATTGCAAGAACATTTCACATTTAGAAGTGTTTTGAAATTGTAATAAAATTGTTAACATAACTGAATTTGCAATAAATTATCCATAAAATAAAATAAAGCCAAATGAATTTACTTATCTGAACTAGAAATAGGAAATTACACTTTCCTAATTGTAATGAACGTAACGTTATCATCTAACATTAAGTTACACTTGTGTATTTTTTAGATCCGGAAGATGTGGTTAAAGCAACTGTATTTCTTTTGAGTGATGATGCTCGCATGATTACTGGAGTTCAGTTACCTGTTGACGGAGGATATATCATACAATAATTGTAATGTTATTGCACCTATGATTAATAATAATTATAAAAATAAGCCATAATGACCACTGCAGTGCAATAACCTGTTACTAAAGAATATGATGCCATAAATAAATCACTTCACCTAAAATAATATTTAATTATTTTTATAACGGAAAAGTTACATTTGTTATAGTTTTATATCATTTTAGAAGTATTTTTGTATTTTTAATTATTATCTTGTTTGTTTTTAAAGGTATAATAAAAGATTATATTTTGGTAAGCTGTTGTTCTTTTTCACCTATTGCTAAATTCAAAATAAAATTTCCATCTCTCAACATCCATATTTTCATTTAATTATATATAATATTGTAATCGTTTAATATTCATTTAATTATATCAAAGTAATAATGATAAATTTGTCATATAAGTTTCATTAAGGTTAATATTTAATTTCTAGTATTTTTAATAAAGAAATTCTCTGTAGCTGCTTCATACTAGAAAAAAATTTCTAATAGTTTTATTAATCATTAGTTTATGTTATATAAAAAAAAAAACATTTTCTTAGTATTTTTATTATGTTGTGCTAAATTAATAACTATAAAGATAACAAAGGCTATAATGAATTAAAACCTCAGTATTTCTTTTTCTTTTCAGAATTACCTTTTTATTTTTGCATTTTAATACAAAAGGTTTTTTTAAAGTTTTCTAAAATTGTAGTCCATATTTTTGACATCAATTTAGTCTAATAAAGCTAAGTCATTTTTAAAAATATTAATATCTGCCACATTGCTATAGATATTGTTTAAGAATACTTATATAGTAAAATTTTTTTACTACATTTAAATTTTAAAAAAACGTTATTCTAGCTCCTTATGAAATAGTCTAACACTAGAAGGAGAGTGTATAAAATATATATATATTTCTTACAAAAAGTGGTCACTTGTATGGTATAAAAAGAGAAAACCAATAATTATTCATGAGTAAATAGCAATTTGTGGATTTTATCTATAAACGTTTTAAAAAAAACGTTGTTAAATAAACGTTCTTTTTGTAATGTTATTTTATTTACTTATATTTTGATGTGAAGAATGAAAAAAAATATTTAATTCTTACATTTCTTGAATAAAAATCAATAGTGCTGCCATCTCGTGGCGTTTTTATGAACTCGCCTGTTTTATCACAATTACCTGCTCAAACAGAAAATGGTTTATTAATTTTCTTTTAGATTTCAATTAAAATTAATTCATTGTTTTTGAAAGAGTTTTTAAATTTTGCTTTGTGCATTAAAACGAGAAATTTCTTGTTGAAATTAAAATAATATCTGTCTTAATAATAAAATCTTATCAGCTGCTGTCCCATTATATCACAGATGATAGGATGTAAACAAATCTCACTCGGTCAGCTGGTATCCGCCCAGTAGAAGTCAAAAAGTTTTTCTGTCCATGTTTTAATATCAAAATGTCCTCTAGCTTTAAAAATAAACGTGTACTTGTCACTGGTGCTGGGAGAGGTAGCTTAATGTTTGTTTTTATTATTTGTTTACATAAATGCTTAAATTTAAATATCTGTTAGATAAATTAAATTTTATTTATTTTTAATTGTTTACCTTCCAAAATTCGGCATTAAGTTGAAACACTTTTACGTAATAATTTTTTTCTTTATTGTATTGCCTTTTAAATAATTCGTATTTTAAATGAAAACTGCAACTTATTGGAAGTTTTAATGCAGCATTGTGTGGAAATATATGATTATTTTTTTTTTAATAAAGTTAGCACGTTAAGTTAAATTTCAATAGCCTATTCTTTGCCATTTCAAAAATTTTAAATCCCAAAGAATTCTAAAATTATATTTTTATTAAATATAATACATAATCTTAAACTTATTTTTCAAATATTGAACAGCTTGAAACTCAAAAATTGTCTTTAGTCCATATTTTAAATTGCATAAAAAATTGCGTTGATTTATTCTTTTATCCTCACAGCTGCTGCTAAATTTATTAATTATTTAATTAAACTATTATTGCTTACCTTAAAGATTTTTTGCATTTTTTTTTTTTAATCTGGTATTAAGAGGTTTTTGTAATTATAAAAATTGTATGATTGAAAAATAACAATAAAAAAGTTAATTATTTTAATCTAAAAGTAAAGAAATATATTTTTGTGTTATCATAATAAGTTGTTTCTTTACTTATTTTGAATATTTTAATCTATTGTTGCTCACCTCAATGTTTCGATATACAATAATATTTTTATACTTTTTGGTTAGCCTGGCGCAAAGAAATTCATCTTTTTTTATTATTATTAAATTTTAATTTTTAGGTGTTGGAAAAAAATATTTAAAAAAAATTTGTATATGTCTACATTTTTTGGCAACTTATCATTTCAAAACCAAAAAGTGCCAATATTTTATTATTTCTTGCTTGTTTCTAAAGTATATATTACAATTGAGAATAAAATCAAGTAAAAGAATCTGTGCATGTCTTAAATATGAAAATTGTCTGATTATAAAATAATGTATATTTTGTTACAAAATTAAAAATATATATGTGTTCTTATTTTCACAAATAATTGAGTTTTTTATTCTCTTTTTTTCATACTGCTGCTTAGTTTTAGTTATTAAATTAAGCTATTATGCCTCACTGAATATTTCTTGTGTTTCTTTCTAAAGTATATAACATTAAAACTAATAATAAAATCAAGTAAAAGAATATGCGTGTGCCTTAATTACTTACCTATTTATAAAACAATAATAAAAATTATTATTTTTTATCGAAAATATATATATTTTTTCATTAAGCTATCTTGTTTAATATAGCCCAGCAACTAAACTTTCTACTATGAAATCACTTTTATTTTGTGTGTATTTATGTGTTATTAAATATTCTTTTTATTAAATAGAAAAAAAATTAAACATGCTATTTAAAATTTCATAATTTAATAAATGCTTAGCGGGTCTCTTGAAAAATATATTTGTTATTGAAAAAAAAAGGAAAAGAATTTGTTAAATATAAGCTTACATTCTTATTTAAATTATTTTTTTAAAAAATATTGTAAAATTTTGCATTTTTTTTATCTTTTGTTCTATTTTTTTCCTTAAAAATTAGATAAATTTATTTTAATTCTGCATTTTTTATTTTATAGTTAAGTTTAGTTTTCATTTATGTGGTTTGAAGAGTTAAATTAAGAAAAATTAGCTTAAATAATATACATTTTTATTCTAAAAATAAATAATATATTTTTTTACATATGGAAAAATATACGTTTATTGTAAAAATCAAGTTGTACCAAAACGACAAATATTATGTTTGAGTTACCATATACTGCATGCATTCTATTTATTTATTATCAAATAATATATTGGATATAACTTCTATTTATTATCCATTCAATTTTATGTCATATAATCTGACTTTTGTCACATCTGGTAACATATTTTAACAATTGTTGAGTGATATTTAAGAACATCAGCAATTCATTTAAAATTCATTCCTTTTGAATTCCTTCTACAGGCATTGGCCGAGCAATTGTGAAAGAGCTTGTTTCAAAAGAAGCTTCTGTTATAGCTTTGAGCAAAACTAAAGCAAATTTAGATAATCTAAAAAAAGAGGTAAGAGTGTTTGCTTTAAACAACTTTTAAGTATAATTGTACTTTTGATCATTTAATTATAGTTCTTAAAAATTTAATCAATTAAGGAAATTTTTATTATATACATTTTACAAATTCAGACAATATTTTATTTATAAATACTTTTATCATTCTTTTTTTTAATGTAATTTTTTATTGCAATTCATTTTTTTTTAAATAATCAAATAGAAAATATGACTGTCACACTTTTATTTCAAATTAATATGAAAAAATATCATTTGTTTTTCTTTTATTCTATATTTTGATCGAGTAGAAATATTCAAAATTATGCTTATCAATAAGTTTTTTTTAATAAATAAGATTTTCACTCCCTTTCAGCTATAGATTATCACACAGAATTGGCACTTCGTTCTAAATTTTTATTTTTTTATTGTTAATACTATACTGAACCCTGGTGTCTACACCAGAAAAGTATATTTATTGCAGGTGTATTTATTGTGTATTTTAATTGTTTAAGTAGAAATATTCAGAATTATAGTTACTAAATAGTTTTATTTTATAAATAAGAATGTCTTTCGCTCTCATTTATCTCTGTATCATTCACTGTAGCATTAATTCATTCATTTTTAATGTATATATAGATAGATCAAAGGTACTGCTAAAGTTCAGTTTGATAGTTTATAAACTCTACCAAATAATCCTTTCCATGTGGATAATCATGATTGCTGTTGTGATGTTTATAAAAGGTACTTTTTGGTTATCTGCGTACAAGCAAAAAGTTGCCAAAAAATGTTGACCTCCGCCAACTTTATTTTTTTAAACACATAAAAATTAAATGAAATAAAAAATTTTAAAAACTAATTGAACTTTCTCAGTTAGTCAAACAGTACCTAATTATATTTTAGGAACTCATTATTTTTGATAGAAGATATTATATTATGTAAAGTTAGCTCTTCTGACAATTGAAAGCTGTAAAAAGAAATGGTATAAATATGTAAAATAGGAATGAATGTATGAATCATTAACTTCACATCCTTTGGTTATGAGAATATTTTGTAATATTTTTATGCCATTTTTTCTTAAAATAATTGTGTTATTTGTTTAGCAGTTAAAAATTACATAAATTCCTTTTGATTGCTAAAATAAATAAAATATGCAAATGTGATATTTAATCTATAGTTAACAATTTTTTATTTTATTTTTAAGTTCCCTTCAATTGAAATAGTTGCTGTAGATGTTGGAAATTGGAAAGAAACAGAGGCTGCTGTACAGAAGCTGGGAGCCATAGATATGTTGGTGAACAATGCAGGAATAATAACTTTACAGGAAGTTGGAAGTATTACGGAAGATGAAGTTGATGAGTATGACTTTTATGAACATTATTATAGAATTAATTTCACATTTTTTTATTTTATTTGTTTATAATTTTTCTCATTATTTATTTATCTTTATTTAGATGCTTTTCAGTAAATGTTAAAGCTGTGGCGAATATATCTCAAGTATGTTAGCTATATTTTGAATTTCATTTTTTTTTTTTTCTAAATTACTGGTGGTGGTGGTATTGCAAAATCAATTAATGTATATATATTTTTACTAAGGTTATCAATTCTTCTCTCTCCCATTTATTTCTGTACGCTTCATCAACTATTTTCATTTACTAATTGTTTAAATTTCAACTCTGAAATGAGTTCAAGTGAAAATCTGGTTGCTTTCCCACACAACAAATCTGTTTTTTTTTTCTTCTTTTCTTTAACACTATATTATGCAGTGTAGAAAAAGTATCATGATCGAAAATTCAGTGTAGAAACAGAATCATGCTGGAAAATTCAGTATAAAAACAGTGTCATGCTAGGAGATTTTTTATATATATTATTCAGTGTAGAAACCCTGTCGCGCAGGGAAATTTTTATATTAGTTAATGGAATCTTTTATATTAGTTTACTTGATACTTAAAGTCGTAAAATAGCATTTTATAAAATTAGTTTTCAATTTTTTTTGCTTTTATTTGTCAATATTATTGCACTTATATTATATGCTTAATCAAAATTTAGTATTGTTGTAATAAACCATAATATAAAATTTTGTATACTTAGTGAATGACTGCTGGCATCAATACAACACAAATACAAATAATATTTGAAATTAAACTCTTAACTACATAATTTGTGATATTTCACATTTTAGATAACACTGGAGAACAAATTTTTTGTTGCATTTTTACAAATGCCTGATCTTGCCTGATTCAGATGTAAGGATTTCAAATCTGAAATTAGTTTTGTTTCTAAAGCTACGAATTTTTTTTAAATGACATTTTTAGTCTATTTTTTGGTCAAAATGTACAGGTTTAAAAACGTTATGTATAACGAGGGGTCATGTAAGTGTTGACAAAAACTTCTAAGAGAATTAGGACATGTCATCAGGAGGAAATTTTATAAAATTAGTTTTCAATTTTTTTTGCTTTTATTTGTCAATATTATTGCACTTATATTATATACTTAATCAAAATTTAGTATTCTTGTAATAAACCATAGTATAAAATTTACATAGGAAACGTAGAAATTACGTAAGGAAATTTGCGTAGACACCTATGCCCGGAAATGTCATTGTATGCTGCTAGGGGTGCTTTCCTATTATGAGTTGTTCAGAACCACTTGTTCTTGAAAGGAAAGCACCCAAAACAGCATATGATTCTATTCATTTTAATCTTGAAGAAATGCCCCTACTCTCCTAGAAGTTTGTCGCTATTATGTGACTCCATGTTATATATAATGTTTCTAAACTATGTAGGATAAATTTTGACAAAAAATAGACTAATAATGTCATTTTTTTTTTAAAAAATATGTAGCTTGGAGAAAGTAACCAATCGTAGATTTGAAATCAGCAACGTTAAAATATCCACAATCCGTTAAAAAATCTCATACAAAAGAAAACAAACAAACAAACAAAAAATTTCCGCAGTCTAATTTACTATAAAATAAGATTAAAATCAGTATGTAAAATTGTATGCAATCAAAATAGTCATAAAATTATAATCACTTGCTGCTTTATTTTAGATCAGCTAAAGGTTTTAATTTCTAAACTATTATAATACAAAACTGTTAGGAGTAGTATTAAGCTGGCTAATTCTTGCATAGTTGATATTATATATTTATAAAAAAATTATATATTCATTAATTATTCCGTATTTTGAAATAGCTAAACTTGTTGAACTTTTTAAGGATAACAGCATAATAAATAATATATATGCACTATTTTCTGTTTATAATATTCTGTTTTTGTATAAATGAGATTTTTTTAAATGTCTGCATTCAATGGGTGTCTTTGTAAAATTAGATTTGTATGGATTGTAAATAGTGATTGCCTCTAATATTGTAAGCATTTTTATCAGTCATATATTCCTAAAGTTTACCTATTAGCCATAACTATTAACTGAATAGACTGAAAAATTGAAGGGACTACAGCAAATCCATTTTAAATAACCACCTAATAACCTATATTATTTTCATTGGAAGGTGCTAAAAAAATCAACAATATTTTTTACGTTACAGATCTATTCCGTGTCTTTTTATTATATATCTAATTTATCTATATACTTAATATTACAGATAGTTGCTGTGAATATGAAGAAGGCAGGGATACGTGGTAGTATTGTCAATCTATCAAGCCAAGCCTCTATGGTAGGCATTCCTAAGCATGCTACGTATTGTGCATCCAAAGGGGCTGTCGATCAATTGACGAAAGTGTTTGCTCTTGAGCTGGGCCCATCTGGGGTATGTTTTGCGTTTTAATTATTTTGTTTTAGTTAATATAGTTTTAACTGTTTTATACCAATTGTATAACATTTATAATACCCAGTTATTGAACTATTGAATTTATTTCTATTTCTACATCTATTTCTGCTTCTTGATTAAGTTTGTCTCTGTATATTTAATTTAAAAGCAGATCCTTTTAAAGAGTGCAATAGGATGTCTAAAATTAAGATTTTTTTTCCTTTTGTAATAAAGATAACTTGGGAGGGGGGGCAGTGATAGCTCACATATGTTTGCTTAATAAACATAAAGGGTTAACATTTTATGAGTGTTGTTGAACAGTGAACCCAATTTTGAATTTACTACTATCAATGCTAAACTCCATTGCCTTGTAAGTTTGAACCCAATCCAGAAGACAAGAGAACTCCTGGATCAAGTATTGGGAGAAAATCCATTAGAAATAGCCCACATTAGCGTTACATGGAGGGGAAAACCTCTCGCAATTAGCCTGACAGCAAAGGGACTCTAGTCCATAATCCGTCGACCACTGAGGATATTTTACGTCAGCACTGTGGTCAGTGCCAGCCGGTTGCTGAATTCATATCAACCAACCATGGCTGGGATTCGAACTCGGTTCACCCCATTGGAAAGCGAATGCTCTATTCCCTGAGCTACACCACTCAAGGGTTAAGATTATAAAAGGAAATAAAGGGAGATCATCTTCGTTTGTTCCCAATTCTGTTCAGATAGCAAATAATAATCAAAATATCTTTCATTTATCCATTTTCTGTGTAATCTTGCTCATTTAAACATAAATATCAGAAAAATCTATTTCTCTCAACAAAAAAGAAAATTTTATTGGTTTACTGGATAGCTAGCAATTTTAAACTCGTTCTAAACACATAATTTTTGTATCTTTAATATTAGCAATTTGACGAGAACTTGGAAGTTTATCGTAATAGCTAACTTCTCCTTATATGCTGTACTTGTTTTTTACTATACTTTATTTAAAGGGAAATATTCATCATATTTTTTATATTTTATTTAAAATCAAAACGAAATTTTTTTATTATCTTTAAAATTGTTTTAAATTTTGTGTAAATTGGTTTTAGTGTTTTATTTTTCGTGCCACTGAACTATTGTTTAAATAGAAAAATATTCTAACTGATTGTGTAACATAAGAAACCTAATGCAAAGAAAGTGTGAAATATAATTTTTGCTGGGACCTCAGCTAGTAAATAGTACATTTTTTTTTAAATGATGGCTTCATCTAGATTGTTAAAACAACTTAGTATCTAGTTTAAAATTAAAAAAATTATAGTTTAATCAAAGATATTGTAACAATTAGAGCATGAATATTTTTATATAAAATAAATTTATTTTTTGCGTCACTGAACTATTTTTTAAGTAGAAGAATATTCTGATTATTTAACAAAGGAAACATAATGCAAAGAAAATATGAAATCTATTTTTCCCCAGCATCTCATCTAGTAGATAGATTATTTTTTTAAATGATTGCTTCATGTTTATTCTTAAAACAACTTAGTTTCAGGTTTAAATTTTAAAAAGTCTAGTCAAAGGTATTGTAATAATTAGAACATGATTTTTATGTAAAATAATTTAACGTACTGAAAACTGTTCACCTTGTAATAACGTTTTAATAGTAGTGTATCGAAGAAGTAAACAAAAAAATTTTATTGGAACTTTAAGAAGTAGTTTAATAGACATCAAACCTAATCACACTTCTAAGGTGTGAGGATTTGGCGGCTATGATAAATTTTGGACGTATGTATTAAAAAAAATATTATGTTTTGGAATAATATTTCTATTATTGTTTTTTTTTCAGTTATGGAAAATAAAATAATAAAAAGAATGTAAATTAAGAACTAATATTTTTTTAAAACTTATATCATAGTTTTATTAATTTCTTCTCATGATATAATATCCAATTTTCAAATTATCCCTTTGGTGCAAAATTTTTATTAAACATATTTTTTTCCTTATTTTGCATTAAACAAAATAAGTGAAAAATATTAAATTTAGTATTTTAATAATTTATAAACACTGTTTTCTATAAAACACGTTTTCTTATACTTATTAAAGGTAAAACCTTCCAAAAAAAATTTTTTTTCAAATATGTAGTTATTTAGCAATATAAAGAAAAGAAATATTCAATTTTTTTTTGAAATTCTATATTTTAGTACAAATATTAATCTAACAAATTTTATTAGACTGTTTTTTATAATTAAAAAATATCAAAAATATTTTTGATTGTTAATAGAGTGTTATAAATATATAAGGCACACCAGTGTCCCATTTGCAACTAAGAGTTAATAGCTAAACCGTTTAATGGTTTCAACTGTTTGATTAATTTATTAACAGTTTGTAATAAAATTCCATGATTAAAAAATTACATTGATTAACATTTTCTATTAATCTTGTATTTACTTCTCAGATTCGAGTAAATAGTGTAAATCCAACAGTTATCCTGACAGATATGGGCAAAAGAGCTTGTGGAAGTGGAAGCCTTGAAGAGAAAAAGGCTGCTATACCTCTCGGAGAATTTCCAGGTAAATTATTATATTAGGTTAATAGGAAAACATAAAGCCATTAAGGCTAAAGTGAGTGATATTTATGATGGTTTTTAAACACACGCATATTATTTTTAGAACCGGAGGATGTTGTTAAAGCCGTACTGTTCTTATTGAGTGAGGATTCCAGAATGATAACCGGTGCTCATCTACCCATAGATGGTGGATACACTTGTCATTAGAGGAGACGTAACAATTACAAATATTTTATTGTACACAAGTTGACCATAGTTTTTACGAATCCTATACTTCATTGAAAAATAAATTTGTTTGTTTATATTTTGTAGTTTCCAACTATACATCTTATTTAAAGTAAGTTCTAAAATTGTGGTAAGTTCCCAAATAGGGTTCGTGGAAGAATTAAAGAAGTTCCGAGAGTTAGGAAATGTGTTTTAGCCAGTATCCTTGGAAATCTTAAATAATGGTAATATATAATCAATAATCCACTATTTATTTCATATTTCGGTTTTCAGCTTATGAATATATTTAAAGTAAAATGCCATTAAAAATAAATGGATAATTTTTTTAATATAAAATGTATTATTATAAATTATGAAAAGATCATGCATTTATAAAACTATGCTTTTCAAATTAAAGTAAAATTACCAATTTTGTTAATGAAGAAACATGTTTCCGTAATCTTAAAAGCAGTTGATTTTAGTTTTTATTTCAAAGAAAACCATATTTCTGCTTATTTTATTCATTTTCAGCTACAAGCGTATATTGTACCTAAAACAAATTTATAAGTAAACTAGATACACCTCCTTGACTTCGAATTTAACTGTCAAGCCTTAAAAAATTCACTAAAGATTATTAATGATAAAACGATGAAAAAAGTTCATTCCTCTTTTATTATGTGTTTTTAAAATATTATTTTACACATAAATGCGATCTTAATTGTCTTTATTTATTTTTTGAAGTATTTGTTCTGCTGAAAGAAGGTTAATCAATTAAGCTTCCATTGCTGAAAAGAATCGGAAACGCTGTTCTAAAACGCTTTTATTTTTCCTATAGCTGTAATGTGTAGAAGTATGCTAAGGTGAAGAAAAAAACAGAATTTTTGAATAATTTTGGAGAATGGAAAAAAAATTGTCGAACAAGTTTAACGCTATTTTTTTTTTCTCCATATTCTTTGCTATTTCTTTAAAACATGAGAAATGAAGTTTTAGTTTTCAGCTCGTCCTATCATTATTTGTGGTATCAACAAAGTTGATTTTTATGTCATGTTATTCGTCTTTTAGCAAGCAAAAATATTAGATTATGAAGCATTTTCTGTAGCTTCATAGGGTTTATAAATAAGTGAACTTGGTTTCCTGTTTCATTTTAACAAATTATCTATACGATGACATACAGAGTTTAAATAGTTTCATAAGTATGTTGAGAAAAAAAGATCAAATTCATTGAATCCCTGAAAAAGCAATAATTTTTTCCCTCTGCATTTTAAATTTCTACGTAAATCAGTTCTAAAGTATAGTTATAATAATTCCAAATAGTAGTAAAGGATTTTATGAAACAGTTTTTATTGTATGTGCGGTCTTTTTATACTTCAGATATACTTGGTACATTTGTTTTGAGATCTTTATTACATAGTTTTCTCACTTATTTTGCTTCAATGTCTTTTATTTTATGATATTTTACTTCAATGTCTTTTATTTTATGATATCGCATACTGCTCAAATCATTCATTGACTGGTCTCAATGCCAAATGTCTAGATATGATAACTTATTTATTCTTACAGTCAACCGTGCAACTTCCAACTTTTATCAAATGAACTGTTAAACATGGTGTTACATGTTTAATAGGTTTTTACTGAATTAACATGTTGCTGCTTGTTCTTAGGGTTCACTAAACATTTACCATTTGGTAAATTATCCCTCAACGGACCCAAGTCTTTTTATCACTTGCTTTGAAGTCATTTACAATTTTATTTTATTTTATTTTATAATCGTCATTGAACAGCTGACCTAATTCTGAGTTTATGACTGTCAACGTTTAACTCCATAGTCTTGTACTTTTAAACTTTACTCAGAGGACTCATGGCTCAAGCATTTTATTTTATATCCGTCGTTGAAAAGCCAACCCAATTTGTGGGTTTACGATTACTAATGTGCAACTCCGTAGCCTTGTAATTTTGAACCATTCCAGAAGACAAGGAAACTCCTGGATCAGTACCCTCAGAGGTATTAATTTGTTATGGGAATATGGAGGACTTTGCGACTCTACACGTTTAACGTGCATCAGTCACCATTTACTACACGGGGAGTTTGTCCAGCGGGGATCAAACCAACAAACTCTTGGACATGGACCCAGCACCCTACCAAAACCAGGGACAAACTAGCTTCTTTTTTCACATTTGTGTTACATGGAAAAAAAAAATCCACAATAACATCCTATGGTTAGCCTGACCGCAAAGAGATTCTAATCTGTAATCTGTCTATCACTATGGATATTTAACGTCTACACTGTGGATCGTACAAGCTGGAAGCAGAATTTGTATCAGACGGCCACCTCTGGGATTTGAACCTGGGTCATCTTATTGGGAGGTGAACGCTCTATCCCCAGAATCACCACAGCTCAATTAATTTAATTATAATACCAGGAAGTAAACTTGAAGTATTTTTAGCCCGTTAAAGATTAACAGCTGCCAAAACTTGTGATGAGCCTAGTAGAAAAGGATCTTTTAATTTCCTAAAACCCTTTGACTTTCAGTTCAAACCAATTGGAAACAATCCCCCTTATTTTTAGGTTTGTGAGATTAATTCTTACGTTACATTTGGTGTTAGCCACCTTAAGCACTTATTTTAAATATTTAATAGAATAATTTATACTACCCAGATTTGAAATCAGTAATTTTACAAATATTCTGTTTATTTAAAGTAAGCTTGTCAAAGATAAAATGTTCTGGGATTATAATATTCACAAAAATTTAACTTTTTATGCAGCATTAGTTATAATTTATTCTTAGAAATGCAAAACAGTATGTAACTTAAAGAATAACACTGCTCAGAATTTAGTTCAAAAACTAAACTTTATTTAAAAAAAGACAAAATAAATTACTTATAATACTGCATATAATATTAATCAAAATAAAACACTGCAGTGTGTTAGAATAAAATAAAAGTAAAACATATTTTTCTCAGATCACCAAAACATAAAAAGTAGTTTAAAATTATAAAATATACTTAGAAGTTATATAAACAATGCATTCAAGAGAAAATGTAAAAAATACATATATTATATAAAATATCACATTCTTGTCAATTGATTTTTAAAAATATAACAATGATATATACAGCACATTTAATGTAAAGCACTTTAAGTACCTAATTTCTCTTTATACTTTGCAATGAATTAAATTAGCTGATTTCTTCATTTAAAAGCATGAAAACAAATTTTCGAAAATGGCAGAATTTACTTTTGGATTTGTTATACATGAAACCTGAAATTTGTTTTTTCAATTTCTAAAATGCTGATTATTCGTGTGATTAAAATATTTAATATTACATATTGTAATTCTAAATACATAATCAATATACAAATAAAAATAATATGGAATTTATTTATACTAAGCCTAAATAAATGATTTTTAAATGCAATATATAGATTTGCAACTTTACTCTGATCCTCTTCTGAATTTTTCTGGGCAAATTGGATTTGAAAAAAAGGTATTCATAAAATGACAGTAATATTCTACTTAAGATATTTAAAAAAAAAATTAAAAAAAACTTGAATCATTTCATTTGAGGTTTTGAATGCAGCTGTCTTGACCTATTTAACCAAGATCAGCAAAATTTCTGGCTAATAAACAAAAGGCTACGCTGGTAAAGACGTTAACTTTAAACCATATGTAGAACTTGATAAACTTAAGTTTATACCTTTATGCTCAGCGAGCTGTAATCAAGTACATCTTGATCATAACCAAGATTCTGAAAGACACTACTGTCACCTATTCAGTGTGATGGGCTTAGACTCTGCCTACCATGGGGCCAGAGTTTTATTCCCTGACTGGGTGCCTGATCAACTTGCGCATTCGCTAATCGTGTCTTTCAGAATCCTATTGTATTATCTCAAGAAGGTAAAAGTCTTGAAATGCCATGCATGGTTAGAGATCTTTGTGCAGTAGTCAGCATGGATTTTAATCTGCCTTTGATCTCAATTGGATTTTCCTCTACCCTGGATCTCAATTGGACTTTCATCTACCTTCGATATCAATGCATAGACTGCATCAGCATTCAACCTCATTTGTGGTATAGTTGCGCAGGCATGCGCCAGTGTGTCTTCGAATCATAATTGAGGATGAATCCTAGACCATCACCAATAGCACATTAGTGTAGCACTAATGCGATAATAACAACCAAACCTTTTACTGCAGCAATTTTTAGCTTTGTTGCCTGAAACTTTCCACAGCTTAGTTTGACAGATTTAGATTTGTGTGTACTGAAGTTTTTAAAAAAATAAAGCAATGATTAGGTTGGGTTTGATCTAAATTTTGCTCCACAAAGATTTTAAAGTTGCTTTTTTTTCTTCACATCCGACAACGTTACGTTCTGATTTCTTATTTTATAAAGGGAGTAAAAATTTCACGTTATTATCAGATGACATTTTGGATACCTTACTTATTGAAATTGCATATGAAAAGCACAAAAATCTTATTTACAAATGTTACACATGGGATGATTGTTAACAAGGGGAACTATTTGGATTAAATCTGAATATATCCATATGCTTCGAAAGATGACAACAAAACATATAAAAACCACATGGATATCATAGCGATGCAGCATATCAAAGCATATATTCTTGGACCTCCAAGCTCGGCTTTTCCTAGTACTGTTAAGAACCTCCTACTCACAATGAGAGCAATGCAGATGAGTGCAAGAGCAGTATAAATACCCACGCTGAATCCCAGTGTGCCAGCTTTCACATGAAAAGTCTCACCCTACAAAATATGCAAATGGAATTTTAAATTTATGGAATTGGTCTGACAAGGAAGTAGGAATATCAATCATTGCCTGAGTAACTGAGAACAAGGAAAATACTAAATACAGGGTGTTTCGAAAAATAACCGAATGCAGGACCCGGCTTAGAGTAATTGGGGCCCCCTCTGCTTCACTACTTCAGTAATGAAGGTATTTAATATGGATGAATTTAAAGGTACAATAGGGAACCGATTATCCGGATAACTGATTTTTCCGGTTTTCTGAATCGCTACAAAAAGCCGTTTTTTATTGTTAAACCCAACTAAAAAAATAAAGTATATGGAAATAATCTTAAAAAGAAGAAAAAACGATGAACACTATTGATTATTTCCAAAATTATGGTAAGGTAAACATCTTTCAAAAAAGAAAGAAAAATCCTAGAATTTTAGGAGGAAAAAAACTTTTTTTAAAAAAGCGGGAAAATTTATCGAATTTCGTTCCGGTTTTCTGATTTCCGGATAACGGGCTCTTTACTTTATTTAATTTTGATGTATTTAAATTTTTCACCTCAATAAAGATAACAAGAAAATTTACTAGAACCTAAAGTAGCTATGAAGTCTATTTTATTGATTTTTTGATAATTCTATGTCTATCACGCTGAATGCAGTTTTCTGATTGTTAACTTAGCCGTCTTGCAGCGAAAAATTCATATCCTTGCTGACATTAGGGCTAAATGTACGCGATTACGATGGCTCAATTAAGCCTATCAGAAGCCTGTATTTTTGTAAACATATTGCATTTTGCTATATGTACAAATACAGGCTCTTGATTGGCATAATTTGTCAATCGTAATTGCGAAAATTTAGCTGAATTCCGTCTTAGAGAGCCATGGATTTACGAAATATAGATTGTGTTCGTACGATAGAATAATGAAGAAGCTAACATAAAACTGATGGATTTTACACTGTACTGATATTTTGTTTTAAAGTTCATTAAAGAATGTAACTTAAAATAAACTTTCTATTCGATTTGGGAGCTCCCTCTAATGTGGGGACCCGAGACAACTGCCCCGTATGCCCCTGCCTTAGTCAGGCTCTGACCGAATGCTATTGGAAGGAGCAAGAACTCAAAACATGTTTGATTGCTGCAGGAAATGTATTGCTGTTCGAATCACCCTCTAGTTTCGTCTGGGTATCAAGGTATTTATGTTTTCAGTTTTGATTTTGATTGCGTTTTGTTTTTCGCTTGATGAAATAGTAATTTGCAACCCAAGGATGACAAGAATGTTAAAAATCTGGATTAAGGATGATTTTTACAGGTTACCCTGCACAATGGTTCACCATTCCACCATCCAGAAACAACGCATTGTAGTATGTCTGAAACGTGACTACAGTTAGAGAGACTTCAACCTATTACCTTCTAATATTTAGTATGCATTAGTATGGGTCTAGGTCGCGACATTATATTGCTTACCTTCTCATATTTGTATAACAGTTCATATTTTACTCAAGGCTCGATACGTTGTAATTAGACATTTATTGCGATTGAATTTTTTTCACCACAATTAGTTAAATGAGATGAGACATTGATAAAGATTCCTACTTCCATAAGATCAAAGAGACTTATACACAACATTAATACAATGTTACACTAAAATAAAACTTAGATAAAGATACTAAATTTAAATTTTGTAACACAGAAATTTTATTTTCCAATATGAAATAAAAATGATTACCTGAATTAATGTTCTGTTTTTTGATTATAACTAGCCTTTATTTACTTTTATTTTTTTTACCATCCTGCATTTGAAGCACTTAAGATTTTAGCTCACGGCATTTTTCCACGAGGAGAGAAGATTAAGTTTTAAAATAGCTTGTTGGAAGGTGGGAAAAAAATATTTCTTTGCTTTTTTTTTAATTCCTGTTTTTATCAAATCATTTTTGTTTTCATAATTATTTAAGGAGTAGAAAAAATTATCCTACATCCGTTGCAAAGAATAAAATTTAGAATAAATAAAGAATAGAATAAATAGAAATAAAGAATAGAATTTATAAGCTAATGTAAAAGCTAATGATTCAAAAATTTCTTATAAATAGATAATGACTTCATTATATGGAATGTTATTTAACGTTCCGAAAAATTAATTTTTTTATTAAAGAAAAAAATCTTATTTCAAACTTATTATTTCAGAAATTCTTAAAAATCATAATTTTTATTACTGTATCATAATACCGCAATTTTGACTATGAAATCGTAACAGTTGACACCTCCAAGAAATGCACAAAACGAAGTAAATATAACATAACCTAAGTTTTAACCAGTCACTTGACTAAATCTTTGTTTCAAAAATTCTGATCTAGAAAATGTTATTTAGTTTTCAAACTAATTTTGTATTTAAGTCTTATAATTTGTACTGAAAATTTAACGCTTGTGTCATAAATAACTGTTTCAAAAATTAATAAATTAAAACGGAAATATAAATGTACTGTATGTTGTGTTCTGCTTAGAAAACTAGAGAATTTCTGTTATCAAATTTCAAATTCGGTTTTAATTTTTTCAAAATTGGTTTTGAAAAGAGCTATAAAATAATGTTTGCTGCATGTCAGACCACTTATAATAAAACATTTGCATGGGAGTTTACTAACTCTGCCTAGGATGGTTATTTGAAAGCATTGTTTTATAGTTTTTCGCAATTAGCAGTCCATCTGTTGAAAAACTTTAATTAGTTTTAAAACTTTGTGAGAAGAAATTTCCGGTTTCATATGCAAAGCACAGCAAACCATAAATTTTTAACCTCTTCTGGTTTTCTTTAATCGATAATTCAAATCTTTGGTCTTTTGGGGGACATTAAGAAAAATCCATACCCAACAAGGAACAGTTATTAAAAAAAAAAAAAAAAGAAGTTCGTTACATAAATTTAATTTTTAAATTTTTCATAAAAAAGAAATTAAGTCGCACTCACCTTTGAAGCCCAATAAATGCTAGCCATCAACCATGGCAATCCAAGTCCTAGGAACACATTAACAGAATTACTTCCAGTAACATTTCCAATGCAACTGTCGGCATATTTCTCTTGCTTAGCTGCTGCCATGGAAGCGAAAAGATCTGGCAGGGATGTACCAAGTGCAACAAAAGTAATAGCTGTGACAGCATCTTTCAGTCCCACGAGACATCCAAAAATACTAGCCAAATCGCCAACAATCGCCGTTAGAACTCCAATGAGGATCAAAGAGACACAAAATGTGAGCCAACCTCCACACATTCCTGTAGGTGGTACAATAGCAAATATTGCCTTCGGAAAAGAATTTTTAATTAGTCAAGCCACTTTCAAACTACGTTTTAAATTATTTTTCTATAACAATTTATGACGCTAAAAGTGTGTGCATCGCATATTTTACAAGCAAATAAATTTAAAACGCTTCCAAAGCTGTGCCAATTTGAATTGTGGAAGAGGGTGCGTAAAAGAGATATGTTTGTTGGTAGCGAACAGGATTCGAACCAACGATCGCTGGAGTCGTAAGTGGGTGCTCTAACTACCAAAGAAAAGTGTATATACCCCAAGTTCAGGGTGAGTTGGGAAGGAATATCTATATATATATTGTGACCGTTTCAGAATCAGAACAAAATACAGTTTCATCCCGCTATAATGAACTCTTGATATAATGAACACTCGGTTGTAATAAACGCCTCCATTTGTTCGCCTTAACTGTTATTTAATAATGTTATTTCATATGCTTACAATAAAGAGCTAAAAAATTGATAGTTCAATTTATAGTGGACTCAAATTTCCTTTATTTTCAGGCATTTAAATAAATTTTACACAATTTTTAGTCTATATGATAAGTTCAAAAGTATATAATGATAACTTTTAATTTAAAATTAAGTGATGCATGTTGAGCAGGCACGTGAGAAAATGAATTGATTGCACAGATATTCCAACTTTAAAATACATCTTTCTTTCTAAAAAAAAAAAAATGGCGGAAATAAAAGTAATAAATATCCGAAAATGGCGAAAATTGAAAACCTAATGTTTATAAAATATAAATAAGCAGACAACGATTTCATTATATGGAGTACGTATTTTGAATGTTATTTGACGTCCGAAAAATTAAAAATTTTATTAGAGGAAATTTGATGAAAGGAAATTTCGCTGTAGAGGAACTTAAAATATTCATTAGTTAGCAGCAGATAAATTGAATGATGTACTAATGCAATCAATATTTCCAACAATACTATTGAAATATACTAAAAAAATATTTTTTTCAAAGATTTTGGATTCAGTGAATTTATAAAGGATTTATACCCTTATAAAAACCAATTTATCTTCTTTTTTTTACTTTAGTTATTTATTGTATTATACTATTAAATTTTCAAAGGGAATATGACTTACTTTCCACCCGAAAGTTAGAAAATGGAGTACATAATCTTGAGTTGTAGCATTCTCTATATCGCCACCGTTAACAGTGAGGGCCGCACGAAACTGTTCACCCCATGTCTCAGATTGTAGTCTCACGTTGTCTACGTTAACGTTTGTCATCAACGCCACTCTTTCCACAATAGAGTTGTAATCTAAAAAAAATTTAAATGGTTCAATGTTGAGGTAAACGAACCTGTCTAGTTAATGGAATTAAAAGTTTTTAAACGATATTAGAAAAAAAAAAGAAGAAAGAAATGTTAACGGAGCACTTCACACTTCTTGTCAAGCAATCATCTGTCTTAATTTTTCGTTTACTGTAAGTTGAGATTCTTATGACTCCAAAACAATTTTTATTCTAATTGCATTAAGAGCATTTTTATAAATTTTTAATTTCCAATAATCGCTTCCAATAAATACCATCCATCTCACGTTGATATACATGGTAATGAGACGGCAGATATTATGGCTAAAGAGGGTGCTAGTAAGCTGGTGGACACACCTGATTTACTTATTTTGGAGCTGTTCTCAAAAACTAAAAAACCCGAAAAGGCTTCTTGAACTGTTCACCAATGGTACCAGGGAAAGTGCTCTGAGGGTGCTTTATCAGGCAGAGGACATGTGAGATCTCCAACGGAAGAAAGGTTTTCCCAACCTGTGTGAAGTGTGCTGACCATCAAGCAACCCCTAACCATTTAACTATATTATCTGGGGTTTTTCAGGCAAGATTTTTTTCAGACATTGTGACAGAGTTCATAAACCTGATTTAGCGTTGCTAAACAACGGAGATATGCAACAACTAGAACATTAATTTTTAAAAACGTCTTTACCACTCTTAATTGCTCGCTCTGTTCTGCCGTGCAATTGAAAAAACAACGTAGGTGTTTCACAGATTCAGAGAAAAGTGGCTTGACAATTTTTTCTTCGTATAGCTAATGCTATGAACGCTAAAATTGAGTTTCAGAAAAATGATAAAACAAAATTTATTTTTGAAAAAAATGATTTTGCAACGTGTAGTTCATCATACAGAGTTGCCAAATATATACAAATCTCAATTTTGAATTTTTTGTCGCTTACGTTAATTTTTCTTTTGCTCTACAGTGTTTCCTATTCGAATTTTTTTTTTATACATTAAAACTGCGAACTTCAGGGACAAAGGAACAAATTACTATTATAATTTTCCACTACTATTACTAATTCTTCATTACTATTAATATTCTCCCAAATTACTATTGTAATAAATCTGAATTTAGGTAAATGGCTTATGTAATTAGAAAGCTCTTGCGAAAATATTAATTAAAACACTTTTTTTTACCAATGTCATAAATAAAATAAAAACGCTAAAAGAGCTCTTTTATTCAAATGAAAATGAAAAACCAAAAAATTTCGAAGCCATATAAAGCAAATATTTTCTAAAATGAATTTAACAAAGTTTTAGAATTTTTGATTCAAAAGAAAATATTTAGGATCATCGTTTTATTTATTTATTTATTTTAAAATACAGTAAAATACCCCTAAGAAGTGCATAAAAAAAAACATTCTAGCGGCATATTTTTTTATAGAAGCAACGCTTTTAATTCCCTTTTTTTTAATAGAAGAGATTCGATAGTTACACTTCTTATATTTTATCACAGCGTATAATTCAATTATTGAATCGAAATTTATTGAGAATGAAAATAAAATGTCGAAGCTATTGCCAAAGTTTATTTTTACTTAGCATACCGTTCATTCGCGTAATCTCCCTACTTTTACTTATTAGTCACGCCACTCTCAAATGTTGTTTTCAAGAATTCTTAGTAGTTTCCGGTTTTAACTACTATTTTCAGCTACGAAAAAACATCCATTGAGAACGTTCCAAAGAAACTATAAGTATAAAGTTAAGTATATTAGGTGCAATATAAAAATAATCAGTTCTTATCTTTCTTCCCTATAGCGACTACACATTCAAAGTATAAGATTTTTTTGATTAATTATCACTATAAAACTATAAGATAATCTCTAGTATATTGTTGATGAGACAATATTAGATATTCTTTGACAGATAATATTAGATATTTTTCAAAAGAACTAACGCCAGATAATTGACCGCTAAACTTCCGTATTCTTTTCCTGAACCGACAGCTTAACAAGAAATTCAGAGACTACTAAATTTTTTTTTGCGTATATAAAAACCATTATTATTTGTCTTATCATTTAAGTGAAATGTTTTTGATTGAAGTATAAAAATATTACTTTCTGGTACGTGGTCTATTATTATGCCATTGTTATTTAAATTTGAAATGGAAAATAAAATTCATTTAGTTTTAAGAATAATATGACTTTTTATTCAAAATCATTTTTTATATACTTTATAAAAACAATTTAGTGTATAAAAAGCTTATTTCTGCATAATAATAGTTTTAAATTTTTATGTACAATTTATAATTTTAAAAAAAACTCGTCAATTATTATATTAAAAGAAATAATAAAAGATTTTATAATGTTTAAATAGACAATGTAAACTGCTAGATTTTTTTCCGCCAAGGGATTTAACGATCAATTTTTCCACAAGCAGTGACAAAGAAAAATAACCTAAAACGTAGGAGGTAAAGGTTTGAAATGAACTTTTGACATGTTCAAATTACAAGCAACAACCTACTTTACGAAAACAATTTAGTTAATAAAAAGCTTTATTTAAACTTTGTATTTCTGCATAATAATAGTTTTAAATTTTTATTAACAATTTATAATTTTTAAAAAGATTCGGCAATTATTATATAAAAGATTTTATAATGTTTAAATAAACAATGTAAAATGCTAGATTTTTTTTCCTATCAAGGGATTTAACGATTTTTTTTCCACTAGTGACAAAGAAAAATAACCTAAAGCGTAGGATGTAACAGGGCTAAGGATGTAAAGGTTAGAAACGTCTAACTTTTGACACGTTCAAATTACAGGCATCAACATTATAAAGATGTATTAAGGCATTTATATTTTCCCAGCAAATACGTTAAAACAAAATATTAATTCAAAGAAGGTTGTTTTTTTTAAAAAATATAAATTAATATATAATTAAACTTTAATAGTTTATTAAAATATTTTTGAAAAGTGTTGGGATATATTTTGTATTGCGAAATATATTATGTACTCATAAATCTACAAAAACACTTTGTTTTTAATTTTAAATAATTGTTTATTCATTATTATCAGCTTTTTCTTACGATATTAATCTTTTAAAGATCAAAAACCGGTTGTATGCATAGATCGATTTGATCAAAAACCGGTTGTATGCATAGCTCAGTTAAAATTCGACAAAATCTAATGTTTTTAACTAACATAAGACATTTCAATGCGTAGCAATAGTTTTTCGTACTTGCGGAACCAATTTTCGTAGTTTTCCGAATTGAAAAATAAACCTTTTTTTTTTAATAATAATTCACATTAAAATGAAATTTTCAGCTGAATTTTTCCAAGTAATATATATTTACTAGTGGGCTGTGCCCCCTGCTCGCTAACGCTCGCCAACCCCCGAAAATTGCTACGCAATCTTATATGGTTTGCTTCGCAAACCAAGCTCGCTTCGCTCGCTACTAACTTAGGTACATTGCAAATGCACAAAATTCTAAGAATTCAAAACAATCATTCAAATCCATATAA